GAAGATCTAGACAAGGTCTCCCTCATGAAAAATGAAATATCATATATCCCTCAAAATATGTCCCCCAAATGCTTGATGCTCTCAACCTTGATTTTGGAGGGTAATTACGGATTGAGACAAATTTCAGAGTGTTTTTTTGCTAACATGCTCCTGTTGAAGTTTCTTGATCTTTCTAGAACTGGCATTGAGGTTCTACCTAATTCCATATGTAACTTGGAATGTCTCACTGCATTGATCCTCTGTGGATGTGAGTGTTTAGAACGCATGCCTTCCTTGTCAAAGCTTAAAGCACTGAAGAAGTTGGATTTGGATGGAGTAGGCCTTCGTGAGACTCCTGAAGGCATTGAAATGTTAGAAAATCTGGAATATCTTGATTTATCTTGTCCCAACCTGAGGGTGCTACCAAGAGGAAAAATCAGTAAGCTCTTCCGCCTCCAATACCTACGTATTGTTTCAACTGAAATAAGAGGAGAAGAAGAAGTTGTAGGATTGAAGATGCTGGAATGGTTTGAAGGTAGATTTGATTGGCTGAAAGACTTCAGCAGTTTTGTTAGCAAGTTGAACCATTTTGGAAGACCCAGTCATTACTTTATCAAAGTGGGAGGCGCAGACAAAGGTGAGGGGCATTGGAAGTTCAACAATAATGATCTTCCTAAACAGGTAATTTTAATTGCATGTGAGATAGGAGAAAAAGATGAGTTTGTCCTTCCAGATGACCTTCAGGATTTGAGGATTGAATCCTGCAATGCGGTCGGTGATATTTCGATTTTTCAGAAAGATCCTACTCAATTGCGAACTTGTGCTTTGAAATACTGCCAAGGGATAGTGTGTGTGGTCTCTTTGTCATCATCTTCATCTACTTCCTTGACAGTTATGAATAACCTTGAAGTACTAACTCTTGAGCGTTTGCCTCACTTGCGGAATGTTGTGCAAGTGGAAAAAACAAGAGCATCGCTTGCACCGACAATATGCCCTCACAACTTTTCCAATCTTAAACAGCTGAGGGTATACAATTGTTTAAAATTGAAGAAGCTTTTTCCATGTGAGCTGCTGCAGGGTCATGGCCTCCAAAACTTGGAGCTGATTGATGTGAAGGATTGTGAGGGGATGGAGGAAATAATAGGATGGGAAAAAGAAGAGGAAGGAAATCAAACAACTACTCCAATATTGATCACTCTTCCAAAATTAAGGACATTGAAGTTGAATTTCCTATCAGAATTGAAGAGAATCTGGCCCGAAGGAAGAGTAATGGCTTGTGAATCTCTCAATAGCATCAATATATCTTTTTGTCCGAAGGTAAAGAGGATTCCCCTTTGTCTTGGAAGGGAAAACGCGCAACCATCTCTTCTTGATGGCAAATTTATCTATATTGACAATCCAAAAGAATGGTGGGAATCGTTGGAGTGGGAGAATCCTGACGAGATTGTCCTCGTACCTTTCCTCAAATATTATGAGCGCGGGTAAGTCTCATTAGTCTCCCTTTTTCCAACACTTGCATTCCATTCTCTCTTCTCTCTGGTATTTCATAAATAAATGTTTCCATCTCTTGTTTCTAAATGAATCCAAGTGTTAATCTCCATTGATTTGCTCAATTATCTAATCTTGGTTGATTTGCTCCTAAGATGTTTGTCTCGCTAATTCCCTTTTTGATTATTCACAGCGACGAAACTTGGGTAGAGATTAAATATATGTCTCTTTAGCGTTTCCTTTTACCTCTACGAGTTTCAATTATCAATTGACTAGTTTCTAATGCGCAGCTCAGCTCAGGTATATATGTCTATTGGCTTGCTTCTGATGAGATGTCTATCTCCCTTAATTAGATGCTAATTCCTTTTTAAATTATTCATTCATAGGGAACAAGAACCTGAATGGATTTCTTGAGTCATCCATTGAATATCAATCTGGTCAATTTGTGTCCACTTTCTAATGCCCAGTCCAGGTATATATGTTTATATCTTTCTTGAACATTTTTCATTTTTCCTTTTTTTCTTTTTGGCTGACTAATATTTGCATCCTTAGAATTAAGTAATTTCTCCATACATGTTGGTGCAGGCTACATCTCTTACCATCTCAGACCTATTTCTTCAACTCGGCAACATATACAGCTAAGAAAACAAAAAAATTGGGACTCACCCTCACGTCAATCCAATGCAATCTTTGTTGTAATTTGTTGTTTTGTGCTATGGATGAACTTTGTTTAATTAATGCTTGTTTAAGTAATATTTGTTTTATTTTGTGTTGTAATAAGCAGTAAGACAGATTTGAGAAATTTCTTGTTTTATATTTTGTGACTGTTAACTATCTCAACCTCAACATCTTAATTTCTTTAATCACATTATTGTTCAACTCTTGTGGCAATTGAACCCAAACACACACACACACACACACACACACACACACACACACACATATGTAGGCCACAGCAGACCCAAGGTATGTATTTATACAATTATATGAATTTCTCTCATATTTATTTGATTTATCAATTTAGTTAAACTCTTTTGTGGCTAACTCGACAGTCTCTGTGACTTACCTTTAGATTTTCTGCAGCCAACACACCCATACTTGGAGATCAACAATTATTTTCAAGTCCAAAATGGTAAGCAGAATTTAGATTGATTTAATGCGCTTTCTTGCCTGCCAACTGCCTCGACACTGGTAATTAGTTGATTCTATTTTTCTCATCCAAATATTAAGTGGTTTTAAAGGATTTGATACCGTCTTTTCACCAAAGTGCTCCTCAATTCATATTATGGTTCTTATTTGTTTATCCAAATGTCAATTCTATGTTTTCTCCGTGTCACACAACCTATTGAACCATGTTGTAGGGCTCTTATATACTCCTCCTCTGAAGCTGAGCCCTAGTGCTCAGCATCTGACTTAATGGAGTTTATGTGAATTGGATATATATGAGTTGGTATAGTTGGCTTATTGTTCAACACTTGCAGCCATTCAACCTATACATAGGCCATAACAGACCCAAGGTATTAATTTATCTCATATTTGATCTATTGATTTTGTTAAAAACTTCCGTGGCTAACTTGAGCATCTTAAGTTCCCTGCCAGAGCACACTTTTGCAGCCCTTCACTGTCTTTCCTCCTGCTTTCAGATTGTGCTTTCTTCTGTGCTAGCTGCCTCTACCTTCCCATTCTACACTGGTAAATTTTCAAGATTTATGTGTTTTTAGATTTTACTTTAACAAATTCCATATGATATCCATCTCTCTTAATTGGATGCTTATTCCTTTATAATTACCAATCACGGTGATTCATGTGTGATCATGTGAAAGTGAAAGGAACAGCAACTACTCACGCATGGCCTGTACATACCAGCATTCCCTCACATCTTTTTCTAATTAAAAAATTTTGTGTAATTATTAGATGTTCAAGATTGAAGAATTTGTTTCCCTTTGAAAAGCTGCAGGATCTTCACGTTCATGATTGCAAAGAGTAATAGCATAGAAAAAAGAGGAAGGAAATCAGACAATGGATGGAAGAGCTACATTCACTCTTCCAAAATTAACCTACTTTGGGACTTACATGACGAAACAGAATCGAAGATAATTTGCTTGAGCAATGGTTTGTTATTCTCTTAATTTTCACATTCTAAGTTCATTTTTTAAACTTAATAACTTATTTAAACTTGCCAGTACCAATCCTGTTTTGTCAAGTTTTTAATACGGTAAGACATGTCTTAACTCTTCTCATGATTCAGTGTTTTTTCTTTTTTTTTTTTTTTTTGGGCCTCAACTCTGATTCAGCGTTGCTGATTCAAATTTCACTGAATTTTTGGCACTAGCTGCAACACTCTAAATTTGTGCAATTTACTTCTTTACAGTAAAATAGAGTGATCCATTAGTTGCTGTGTCATGGTCCCAATAAATTGTTAATTAATTGCTTGCACTTTTCCATCCTAGATTAAGTGGTTTTAGATTTTATTTTAGAGGATTTAATTTGGTCTTTTCTCCAATGTTGTCATTAATGGATGTCATGGCTGTTATTTGTTTACCTGATCATTGGTACCATGTTTTCTCCATGTTGGCTGAGGGACTCTCTAACCTTATGGCAGCAAGTTTGCTTGAAGAATTGGCCATTGGGGATTTCATTGTACAAGGATGAGATTACTGGAGGTTATATGAATGTATATGTTAGTTGGTATAAAAATTAGCCCTTTTATTTTCCTGGTGCTTTGGGTATGGTGTAATTGGATAACTGTCCTTTTGCTATTGAAGTACCTGCTGGTTCCTCAATACGGTACAATGCAGCTGTGCTGTGGAGTCGAATCCTCTTTAGAGTTGGCAGAAAGGAATTCGCCTTTGTTTCAATAAATATAATTGAAATAGAGGTTAGCAATCACTTTCACGTACTTCGATTTTTCCATTTGTACAATTCAACCATCTGTTCAAATGAAACCCGGGACATTTGAATTGTTTGATAGTTTGATATATAGCTGAATTCAACTTTCTCCTGCAGAAGCCAATAATCTGCTGTTTGTGGAATCCCTGGTTAGTGTTGTGTTTTAAACCAATATGCCTTCTGCTATCACCAAGTTTGTGGGTTTATTTGAAAAGAGAGAGTTTCTCTTGGACTTAGCCGACAGTGCCCATAATTTCCTATTGAACTGGCTTCAGAGATATCCACCAATCAAAACCCAAGATTTCTTCATGTAAGGAGAGAGTTTCGCAGGCAGGAAGTTTTGGGGTTCTCTTTCATACTTGCACAGATAGTTATATAAATGCTCTGTAAATCATTCCTTGTTATTGCAGGCCACTATGTACCATAACTTGTGAAGCAGGGTTTGTCTTGACGAGAGAAGGAAGTCTGTGGAGCAGGGTCTGTGATCAACACAAGGACATACAAATATACGTTAATCATCTCAAAGGTTTTATGGTAAGAATAATCCTCCATGTTTATGCTTTACTGGATTGGGGGCTAAAATTGATCAGCACATTAGGCTGCACGTACTTATCTTATACATATCAAGCATACATGAACATGATGTACTAAGATGATATCCATGTTGCAGGTAGGCAATCCAGAGGCCGATTATTATTATGGTTATAGTGCCTTGCCAAGATATGCTTGGACCTGTTATGTGAGACCAAACCAGCTCTACTTCAAAGCCAAACAAGTGTAGTCTTCAAAGTCCCCATACTAATTTGCCTGACCCTGATGAGTGCAAAAATTTCATGAACAAAGTCTATGAAGAATATACAGAGATGGACATTTTCAGAAAGAAGAGAAACATCATCAACGATTTCTCTTGGATCCATGGCAACTAGATGGCTGGTTTTAGCATGTTCCTTGAGAATTGTAGCATTGATCTTGCTGAACTTTGGACCTATGCGGTGCTCTCCTTCTGGCTTTAGAACTTAACATTAACAATACCAGCCACCACCCTCATAGAAACATCATCAAGAAAATCACTGGCACTACCAATACCAAGAGGTGGAGCCCGACAGCTACACAGCTGATTGGATAGCTAAAAATAGTCTTGAAATCATCATCTTGTGTTTGAAATCCCTTCCAAGGGTATTTTGGCTTATCATTACTAAACAAGTCATACCTAGAATTGTTGGAGATTTTAATTAAAAACTACAAATCTATTATTTTCAAAAAATCAATTCCAGCCGATTACAAATTCGTTAAATCAACTTTGTGTCAGTTACCCATGCCTTCTTGCTTTTTTAAAAGGAAATGGTAACAGCCATTTATTTAAAGAATATTTTCCGTTTCATCGGTTTCTTGAATCCATGCGTTTTTGTCTTATTGAGAGGACCCTGCGTTTCAACTTTTCAAATGGCATAAAGCAATATGTTTGTACATCAGTTTCAAATATTATTTTGATAACCGAAAAAAACATTCATTCAAATTTAATGTTTTGTCTCCTTCGGTTACATTGTTGTTGGGATTAGGCCCAACGCCCTCTGAGAGCCGCATACAGTAGGCCCAACTACGTGCCCACAGGCCCAAGAGGAGGGGACATACCCACGTGGGCATCACCACGTGGGCCAATGAGAGG